ATGCGGTCCGGTCTGCATGAAACATTTTTTCGAGAAATAAATGAAAAAGTGCATAACCATAACAAAAGAAGATTTGTTTTTTACCTTAATTGCCGTAGTCTATGCAATTCGAAATATACTATTAGTGAATATTACAATTTGGGTTACAAGAGATATATCTTTATCTAAAGGGTTATGTTAGGGTACTTTTATGCATGGAGTATTTTTTAATGTACTCAATATTTTTGGATATTTGCTACTCTTGATTTATAATACAAAATTTTTCAAGTAAGATTATTTTTTGTCATTATGAGAGGTACAATAGCTATTTTTATAAAAAATCTAAAAAGTGTAGTTTGTGTACTTAAACTATCAAAATAAAGTGCACCTCCAAAGGTTATCATGATAAGCAATTATGGTGTCGAAATTCTTAAGATGGTATGTGAATCTATTTTTATCTTTAATTATAAAATTTTAATTCTAAAAATAGTTCAAATAAAACAGATCTATAAACACATGAAAATCTTGAAAATAGACGAACCAGATAATGTCGAGGTGTATAAATGGTCAATTAGATTTGTTTCAAACATAAAACTAACATTTTTAAAGGATTTTAGAGGTACACCTTAATTTTACATTTTAAGGTGTTTGTCATTGGAATTTTCTACCAAGAGAATATTTATTTTTTTTGCTAGGATGTAACAATTATTCTCACTCATTAAATATCAAATTGGATGGCTTAGGGTGTCCAATAAATATTTTTTTAAAACTTTATGTCAATTTAATAACAATCTTACAACTACCTATTTTTAAATTCAAAGGGCGACAATAATTGTCACATCTTTGTACAAAAAGTAGATAATATCTTTATATACAATCCGTTCAACTTTATCTAAACCTTTTCCTTATCTAAATATTGGCAAAACCTGCATTAATTTTTTCTTCTAGATTCTCACCCGACTAAACAACACTAATGATCAACTTCCTTATTATCACCGCCTAGAGAGTCTCCATCTAGAAATGGAAAATAAACCAACCCAAAACCTATAAAATGCCACTTTTTTTAGTAGACATGCACCTCTCTACATTTGATATTTCCATTATTTAGGAGGCCCTACCTCTCTCTAGAAGCCAAGTAATACATCAATTCCAATAAGGTGGCCCCAGATGGTGTCTCTTTAAGGTCTTGTTTGGAGGACATTGTTTTATGTAGACATTATTGAGACTTTGTCGAGGCTTTCAAAGAAATTTCTTTTTTTTTTATGGAGAATGGCGAGGGCAAATAGACCCTAGAGCCAGAAGGACACGGACAATGGCGTGAGAGAAAGAGAGAGGGTGTATGTATAATAGGTATTGAAATATATAATATTTTGATAAATTGACCTATATGTGAAGGAAAATTGTTTCATGTTGGACCATATTTATATATCTGAGTCCAGAAAGTATAAAGCATCTATTTTAAAGATGGAGGCAAGTAGGTGTTCTATCTAAAAACAATGGAAACTAACAGTCCAAATGTTTTCTTACTAGAATTATTATCTTTAATTTTTAAAATTTATTTATTCATTCATATTCATGATCTCCATGTTAGGGATTACATGTCCTTAAAAATTAAGTCTTGAAATCCATATAAAAAATAGATTTATTAAGAGGCATGCATTTCTACATATGCGAGCTTGGCCACATAGAAATCGGGTCCTAAAATTTCAAGTTATTTAGATTTATAAAAAAAAATTAAAATTAAAATACGAAATGAGGTCGTGACCGTCAGATCGGCCTATATTCAATCTGGGTTCATATGTTAATATGAGTTAGTGGGCTAATCTTAGCATTTTCCCTATATATATAAAAAAAAATTAAAATTAAAATACGAAATGAGGTCGTGACCGTCAGATCGGCTTATATTCAATCTGGGTTCATATGTTGATATGAGTTAGTGGGCTAATCTTAGCGTTTTCCATATATATATATATATATGAAAAAGTCTTCCCAATGCCTATAGGCGAAAATGAATAATGATTTCGTCTACCCTCATCACCGTCCAAAGTTCATCGCACGATCACAATTACCAAGTAGTGTTTTATTTTTTATTTTTCTCTACAAATCGGAATGACCTGAAATTTAGATTATGTATACATCTTAGTTAGGCACACCCAATAAAAATATAAAAAAAATATTTCGCAAAAATAAATTGACCAAAATACCGCTGAAACTTTTCGGTGGTATTTTGGTCAAAATTTTTCATGTAAATTATGTTTTTGATATTTTTCGTATATTCACCTATTTTTTATGAACACACGCTCTAAATTTTAGGTCATTCCGATTTGTAGAAAAAAATAAAAAATGAAACACTATCAAACAATTGTGACCGTGCGATGAACTTTGGATAGTAATAAAGGTAGGCGAAATCACTGTTTATTTTCGCCTATAGGCGTTTTGTAGTATCTTCATATATATATATATATATATATATATATATATATATA